ATGAGGTAAAAGAGGGAGTTCTTTCTCCTCCAAATCTTCATTGTTTCTAATACAGTAGCAAACATTCTTGCCAGTAAATTATAATTGGATAGAATTGTCTATGTGACATTGCATGATTTGAAAAAAAATCATGCGCATTGCATTTTTTTTCATGTGCATGTCACATCTCTAGTCATGCTGCCTTGACATCTTCTTGTATAGTAATATATATAATAATATTATTAATATTATTGATTATGAAAAACAAAATATTATCAATTGTAATTACCCAGCAAGATCTGCTCTGTGTTTTGATTTAAAAGACATATCAATGCAAATTAAAAAATAGCACCTCTAGTTAGTTATTAACACTTCTTCTTTAGGAGACCCAAACCAAACCAAACCAGACTACAACACTCACGTTTTGTCACCTTGGACTCTGTCAGAAAATAAATTGTTTTTTCAAGAAAAAAAAATCAATTCACATTTGTCCTACCAAAAAAAAAACCAATAGGATAAATAATTAGTGTGTACATGTCGATCAAATAAACAAACTTCCAAAAAAAATGGCCAACAGAATCAAAAACTCAAATAAAAGAAGAAAAGCCCAAACGGAAGAATTCGAAAGAGGATAAGTGTTTTAAGGATGGTGGTGGTGGGTTATCGCCTGCTGCTTGTCGTCACTCTAGTTATATATAATAAAGCTATTAAAAAAAAAAGGTTGGTGATTATTAATCATTCTAATTAGACTTTTAGATGTTAAAAAAAAAATAAATTTCCACAAGCTTCCAACAGAAATCCTTTGTGAAATTTACGAGTACCTCCGACCATCTGATCTGTTATCTCTAACGCAAACATGTTGCAAGTTTCATAAAATATTGACCAATAAATCTAATGGTAAAATTTGGGAAATCTCAAGGATAAATTATATACATTATTTCAAGAAGCTGCTGCCACCACCACATTGGAATGAATTAGAATATATCAGATTTTTCCTCTGTCAATCGTGCTCCTTTTGTGGAAAAATAGAATCGACGGAAATACATTGGCAATTCCAGATGAGGTGTTGCATGGATTGTTTTGATTATAATACAACCAAAGTAAAGTAAGTAATCATTTACAGACTGCATCATATATATAAATTTTATTCTAATTGTTTAATTATTTATACCAATTTTATTTACAAAAAATTTAGTATGCTTGTTGCTAACAGTTATTATGGATTACCTAGTATAAATGTAGGAGGGGATGTAATATTCTGGACCAAAGATATAGATGCATCAGCTCAACTTAATACCAATGATATCAGTGGTTCGGACCAATCTAATGCTGATGGATCAGCTCAACCTGATATTAAAGATGGTTCCTCAATTAGTTGCAACTAATTGCGGCATATAAAAATTGAATTGTGTTGCGGCATATGAAAGTTGAATTGCGGCTAATTGTGGTTCCATCTCTGCCTGATATTGATTGATCAATTCAATCTGATAAAGAAACACAATTCCTTGAAGAGGCTTCATTACGCAATTCCAATACCTCACTTTTTTATTTGTCTGTAAATAGAATGTTAAAAAAAGCGAATGAAATCGTCAACAAAATTCTTAGCGATGGTAAATTGGCAAAAAATTACGAAGCTCATTACATCTACACCCACTTCCTCTCGTATAAGAGAGTGATATTTTATTTTTCAGAATTTGACAATGGCGAACCAATAAAAAATTATTGGAAAGGTTTCAAAAACCAGATCATCTACGAAGCCCAAAAACCACATAGAAGAGACACCATTTTAAATTACATAATAAGATGGAAAAAGAATGGTCCCGAATGTGATAATCCTCTTGGAGATCCAGATGTTAATATTTCTGATATTTTACAGAAATGCCAAAGCTTTAAAGATCCACCACTGTATAACAATAAT